CTTTTCACTAGGTGTTCACTTCTTTTCTCTCTCTTCTTCCCTTCTAAATAAATCTTATTCTTAAGATTATGAAGTTTCTAATTAAGACAATAACTTGTGTTACACTTTAAATTAACTTCTCAGATTAGTTTTATCTTCACTATGCATATATGACTCATACAGAGTGATTTTTTTTTATCCTTTTCACTTAATTGTGACTTTCATAGCATCATTCTAAACTATGACTGCACAAACGTCAATTCTAGCGTCATATCTTACTACAATGATAAATTATTTTTTGTTACTAATTTAACGATACACACATGGTCGTTTTTTTTCTTCTTCTCTGTTCATAAACACGCTTATTAGACTGTTTGCTTATTTCACGTCTCCTTTATTTCCATTCCCTTATTTTCTCCATTTCTTTCTTTAAACTCAATTCAATATTCTCCTCAATTACACAGACCCGATTTATTATTATTAATATTCTACTATTATTATTCTAAATTTTTTTTAAATATTTTATTTTATTTTTTAAATATGGCAAGTATAATGCTAACATTATTGAAAATTGTGTATTATTGCATTTTCTGAAGAAACCCGAAATGGTTTCTTCACAACACTTATGTACCCATAAGATGTCTGTGAATAATAATAATAATAATAATAATAATAATAATAATAATGTTAATGATAAACAGAAGTGATACTCCACCCACTTCGTACTTCTTAAGAAATTATAGTATCAAATTTCTTATCACTGAAAAGGTCCTGGTTATCAGTTTGCGTGATAATTTGGTTATCTGCTGCTGTTGCCAATCTGCAATCAATAAATCATACTAGCTTAGCTCTTTTTCAAGAGCTCTTGGTATTCTGACTGTGGATTCATTTAAAGCATTCCCACCGTTTACTTGAAACGTCGTCTCGTAAAACCTCTGTATTACGTCCCCTTACCTTGAGAAGGATATTGTTCATCTGAAAAGTGTCGAAAGAAGTGCAGTTAAAAAGGTTCTTGAATCAAAAATATAATACTACTTGGCTCATTCGGAAGCTATGAACTTGTAGTCAGAGAAGTAAAGTTTAAAAGGGATATGATTATGATGTGCCACACCGTTCATAGTCTATCTATCCGAATAAGCTAGTAACGTATTCCAGTAATAAGTCACACATTTCAGGACGTCTGATGAATATAGAAACACGAAAAACCTCACACAAAATTAGTGAAAATATTTTCGTGATAAGTTATGGAAATCATCATTTGAAGCCAGTGAGATGAGCTTCCCTGTTAAGTCCTTCAAAAGAAGGCTTTAAAGACGTCACGGGTATTCGGAGTTTTACAACGCTCTTATACACAACACCTATCGATATGTTGAGAGACGTTTGATATAAGCTGGCTAATATTTGCAAGGGATGCGTAGCACATCGTAATCACTGGCGATCAGTAAGGATGTGCAACCTAACGCCTTCGACCAGGGTGCTATCAGTAAAACTAATGAGGTCATCATAAAAGTCGAACACTTGCATAACTGTTTATTTTGGGGATTTATTTACCTTTACAATTCAACGATTACTTTTGTTTCGTGAGCAATTTGAGGATAACCAAAAGTTACTTCTAGATCACTCGTATTATTGACTAAATTGTAATGCCCTTCACATTCTAGAGGGGACACAGCAATAATTTCACCTCTTCGTAAACAACAGAACACTTCAAATCACTAGGAACAAACTAATCACTAATTCTGTCTAGAGATATTAAAGTTTAATCCTAACATGGTTTGCATTTCTCAAACTTTTACTGTGCCCTTACGCAACAAAAGTACCAATTTCGATCCAAAGAATCTGTCCCGAGCTTAACGTGTGGTAGATTACTTTTCTTTTTTTGGTTTCACCCAAGTTAATAGTTGACTGTGGTTTCGCCTCAACTTACTATTCGGTTTTTCAGTTTCTCATGTCAAGCCTGGTTTTAGTGTATCATAAGCTTTTGTACGACCCATTTTGTCAGTTTTATCCGTCTTGTGAGTGCTGTTTTTTTGCATTTATGCAAGAGACCGTGATACTGTTTTGCTGCTACATCTGGAATTTAGTGTGACAAATGCAAGGGTTGCTTCTAAGGAGCGCGAACAGATCATACAGTAATTGCTTGCAACAGACTTAGTAAATCGGGTCGTAAGTTGTTATGTGACACATGCAACATCATTTTTTGACAAGTCTGAGGTAAAATGTGTTAGCGAACGTGAAAAAAGACAGTCTTACAACGAGTAAACAAACAAAGAAACTTAATGAAGAAAAGGGACTTTGATAAAGCTAGTATCGACGTTACATGCATTGACATTTGTGAGGAAATGATGAAGGTCAGCACAATCACAACATCGATGGTACTAGACTCTCTCAGCAAACTTGGGTCTCTTAGCATAGGTTCCCTGAATACAATAGTAGTACTCAAAACCTTTGAACCACATAGACCCCGTCGACAAAGTTAAAAAGAACCGCGTTTCACTGCCTAAAAAGCAGATTATTCCAGGTTTTGTAGTGAAATCAACTGGTGATTTGTCTTGTAGTCTACCCCAAAGAATGTCAAAACGGTCGGTAAAGAGCACAGTAATTTGAAACACGTTTCAACCACGAAACGAAAAGGTCCTCAACCTGAACATACTCGGAAACCTGGGAAAGTGATTTTCTTATAAACATGAGACTTAAAGGCAGTCCTGACCTTCCCCACAGTCTTCTGGACAAAAATGATAGGATGCACTCGGAAGAATTAGACAGGAGATTAGAACTTCCCAAAATAGATTCTCCGACGGTCATACGGCTCACAGGAGGAAAAGGCTCCAATCAATATTCACAAATATCAATACCACCCAATACTACTTCGTGTAACGTTCACTAACGCTACCAACGCAGAGTATGACCTACTGGTTAGTCACATGATGAAATCAGATAGAAATATAGGAATACCGCCTGATATTCCGTATTCTGAACGCAATCTCATCCGAAATATTCCTGAGAAATCTCTCAATACGTTTTGTAATGGAAGAAATATCATTGCACAGGATTTGTCAGAAAAACGGACCCTGATCACACGAATTCGAGAATGGAAATTCATCACGTAATCCTTGAAGCTCAAATACATATTCACCCAACATGTGGTGAGACTATCCACAAAGAACGAGGATTCTAGACGCCGATCGATGAAGATAATCTTATCATCCTCTATATAGTGGCTCCAAATCTCGAGGCGTTTCGTGCCAACAAATGCCGGTTGCTAAATGGACTACATATGTATTCGGATAGGCCACATGATTCAAGGATCAAGCAAAAATGCAATTTGGGGCTGACTGTTACACTTGTGAACTTTTAAGACGATGTAAAAAACGTAGAAGGGATTTGAGCTATCAACTGGGAAAACCCTGTGTAGGTAGGTTACCTATCTATTCACATAAGGTTTATGCAGATAAACAGGACGGGGAACCTCACGCTTTCCAAATTCAAAGCATAAAATATTTATATACGAATAAAATGGATGAGCTGAATAAACACAACAATGCTAATAATACTCGTCTGATAGGAATATCTGAAACTTGGATATCTTCTCAATTTATGGACAGAGAGCTAGCAATACCGACATGTTTTTGTTTTGCAAAGACAGAAATACAGAAATGAGGGGAGGATTAGCCTAGAGGTATATCAAATGCACAACCAAGAGTTTGTTAATCTGATGAACCTGTATAGTGTTCAGTAAGATTGTCTACCACCATGAGATGTTTAATTGGAGTCATCTATAGGAAGCCCACTGCTGAAATCGAGTACAACAATTGTATGTTAGAGGGATTATACCGCTCTACTGTCATCAGATTCACTCATATCCTGATTATAGGAGACTTCAACCTTCCTTAATTCAATTTCGCGAAACATACGTATACTGGGGGTGAAAAATCTACTGAAGCTCTTTTCTTCAACCTCATTGAGGATTTGGGATTATGCGAAAATGTGAAGTTAGCAACTCGTTGGAGAAATAGTCAGACGCTTCGGTTCTTAGACTAAGTATGTAAAAACGAAGAATCCCTAATTGATAATCTCTCAGCCCTGGCTCTCTTGGGGGAAAGAAATCACGTCTTCATAGACCCCAGGGTTTATTACTAGGACCTCTTCTTTTCTTGATTTATATGAACGATATCCTGCCACAAGTGTCGTCCAATTTATTACTTTTCGCTGATGACGTGAAACTTTGTAGAGAAGTACGTAACCAAGATGGTAAACTGGCACTTCAGTAGGATCTGACTCGACTTCAAATTTGGGCAGATGACAACGGATTTAACTTTAACACTTCAGAGTGTAAAGTGGTCCATATGACACATGTTTCATACTACGAATACAACTTAGATAACCCCCTTCTAGTGGCGTCCAAAGCTGAAAATATCTAGGCGTGCTGGTACGCTACGATCTGAAGTCTTACTCTAATTGCTGCAAAAATGCCATTCGAGCAAACGTTGCACTGGTAACATTGAAGCGTATTTTTGGCCAGTTCGATGGAATTTCTTTCCATATAACCTTCAACAGACAAATTCGTATCCGTTTACAGTACGGAAACATAGTATTTCTCTTTTTAATCCAAGAGGATAAGGACAGACTAGATAGTATCCAACGGCAAGCCATGAAATCAGTCCGAGGTATCAAATTCAAGCCTTAGGAAGAGCGCCTCCAATTTCTGAACCTTCACCCATCAGGCGTCTTAGAGGTGACATTCTAATGGGTTACAGTATCATTAACACTTCTAAATATCTCCTTAAACACCTACTAAACTTAGTGCCAACACAAACCTTAGGGGTAACACCCAGATACTAGAGACAACATAGCAGTACAGACTGTAGACTCACCAATTACTGCTTAAGAGTAGTCAAGTGCTGAAATTCGCTGCCGGCCAAGCCAGCTTAAGCGACTTCCAAGCTGTCCTTCGAGAGAAAACTTGACATATTCCTGAATCATTTGAAGTTGAAGTTTTAAGGTTTGCAGAAGGCGGAATTCCTGACACTGACGTTACGTAATGGTTTCAACTGATGGTAAAGCAGCAATCTTAAACTATGTCAGGAATTGCTTTGCATCTGGAGATGATTCGGGATTTTGTGAAAAATTACTTAACAAAGTTAAAGATGTCACAGATGAAGAAATTGAGAGTATTTTAAGTGGACAGTAGTAAGTTCTAGTGTTCTTTTCTTTTTAATGATATATTTATGTAAGTTTTAATGAAGTTGTAAACACGGACTCCGATGACTTTTATAGGCATTCTCCAGAATGTGAATTTGTACCTTGTGAAGGTTTGTTCAGTTCTCACTCTTATTTCAATCTTCAGATCCGTTAAGCGCGTTTTTCTCCTCCATTAATAACTTTGAGAATCCTCAGCAGTCGTCCCTTTCAAATAAAAGGAATGCATCCAATATTCGACAGCTTTCCGGTAAGTTATCTCTGTCGTTGTCGCATTTCCTAGTCTTCAGCATTTTGGTCTAAACAGACGGGTAATTTTGTTATTCTCCTGATACAGGATTACCTTTTCGTTAGGGGGGACTTTTCATCCCAAACTGCGCTTGGCTTAACTTTATTCTGAAAATACATTTGTCCAGTCGTCTTGATGAGAATCTGATTTGTTGGCGTATAAACCGTTACCCATAATAACGCCTTCTACACCTGTTCTCTGCAATTGCGTCAATTCAAAGGACTCGTTTTATTGATGGTTGTCTAACTTACCACGGCCAACGTGATCATTGTAGCTTATAAGTTCGATTCTCAGCTGAATGTTAGGTATATTGCCTATAGTTTAAGTTGAGTGAGTAGAATATCATTTCTATGAATCAGTAATCTTAAAAATGTACGGATCCAAACTTTTCATTATTTACTGAGCGACTTATTCTACATTATTTCTACTAACACATGGGTTGTGATAGATTTTACTGTTACTAACTTTCATGATAAAAAGTCTTAAAAAGGTAGCTATTCTTATTTCAGCTCTTAATGGTGAATAAGTCATTCTAATAAACAGACTTTTACCGCCACTATTATTGTGGCTACTGTTTAGCTGACGAAGTGGACGCGTATTTTCCATCAAAACCGATAGTCCGCACAAACAAACCGGATACAGCAATAAAATCAGAAAAATCTGGGTTGACATTGGCACTAGAACAAGCTAAGCTGAGTGGACATTTAAAAAGAAATAAACTATTCTCTGATTTCGCTGTCTACGATGCTCGGTCAACACTTGGTACAAATCAGCATGTTCCAGATGATCGCTTTCCCGATGCAAACGTAGATCCTTCTCTGCGCCAGTTCAATGTTTGGCTCTGGAGGCTTAATGGCTTCCCGCGCACGTCAATTAAAGTGCAGCCTCGACTGGGTACTACAGTGCAACAGTTTATGGGGCTTACTTTATGGCAGTATTTTAACGAGTTTTCAGCATCTGACAATGATTTGACACTTGTGCCAACTCAGTTAGATGATTTAGACGAGTAAGTTTTAAGCATTGCTATTGGAGTCTAGCTACATGCATGATTTTTTAAAAACCTTGATTATGTGTCGTGTTTATCCCATTTAACTTCATGTCAATTTTTGAAACACGTTAGTTTATATTTGCAGGATAGGACGAACAATCCTATCGCACGTAAAGATAATCTCTGAGATCACATGCAGACTATTAAGACCAATGACAGTAAGAGCAGACAACGAAATCTTTACAAACACTATTTGTAAGTCAAAGTAGACAGCAACAAAAAGTCTGTTTTTAATATTTTTCGTTTACAAGATAAATTGTAGCAACTATGATGAATTTCATCTAATGACACTTGAGGTCTCTCGATCTGTGTGTACGTGAATATCAGCAATCTGTTAAACAAAGACTTACATTCACTCCTATCAATACATGTAGACAACTACGGGAATAATTTTTATTCGGAAGGGTCACAAAACTGTACAGAGGAGACAACAAAGCTCCGATTTTTAAGAGGTATGTCACTCAGGTCACTCCGCAGCCGGTATACGCATTAAAGTAGGTCCAACCAACGAAAATAAGAAATACAAAATCAAGGAAGAAGACAACCGACATAAATGTGCAAACAATATGAACATAATTACTAACAGCAAGTAGTCAAATTCTATATCGGGAGAACAAGTGACTAGTCAACTGCGAAGGATGTTTGGTAGCTGACTTCATTTGTGATTCATGTGTTGATGAACTCTACGAAGGCTTCATAATTATATCATCTGTCTTAGAGAAAACAACGCCTCTGAAATAAATGATGATATCGAACTATGTTTCGAGTCACTTTAAGTTAATGAAAACTAGTAATGCTGTTGTTCGACTGCTCAAACCGAAGTAGGTGGATTGAGATTCGGATGTACAATTCAGTGATTTAATTACTAAACCCGATGCATGGTTATCGCTTATTTGCTACCTCTACTACTATGGAATTCTCTATGACAACTTTATGTCGCTATTTTAATGGATTATAGCAACTTAAACAGATATCTGCATATGCCAGGTTCTACATTTCGTATGATTAACTGACCTCGTATTTTACTTATTGATTTAGATCATTTTTAAACCGTCTGGCTTTACACATGTTTGATACACTGGATGATGAATGTGACGATAGTGAAGATGTAGATTCAGAATTTCCACCGCTTGAATTGAATGATCCAATTCATAAATATGAATTTAAGTCATTTGCCCTGGTTGAACGAGTGGAAACATCATTGACAGAGACACCAAAGAAAGAAATTTCGCATGTGTTAGTCACAATGTAAGTGTGTGGATTTATGTATGTATGACTACCATTTTCTATCATATGTATATAATGGGGGCTGATAATTTTTGCTAAACACTTTTATTTTGTTAAAATGATCTACAGAATATTGATCGATGGATGTTACTTATCATATTATTTAGTACGAACTCTAAACTAAGCTATAATCTATAGTATTAATATTGCAGTTAAAATATTTGGATGTTACTATTCATTGTGGTGATTGATATAATGATTCAAGTCTCCTGTCGGACTAACCAGAAATTTGCTTCCAGTTAATGGAATATTTAATCCTCAAGATTTTTCACATGTTTAGAAATGTTATGAGACTGTAGGTGTATTGCTTTGAAACTATATACACCACACAAAATGAATAAATAGCAAAAGTAAAGGTTGTATAATTTGAAAAAAAATGAACAGAAACAGTGTTTTGAGAAATATATAGGTCAGTTTTTAAAATACAACGAAGATAGGTTTCACTGAAGTGGGAAATTTCATCTAACTCTTATGGAGAATTTATCAGAATACTACTGCAGCATCCCCATTGGCTTTTATCTTAAATCATATTTGATAATGTCCCGAGTTGCATGGCTTGTAAGGATACAACTAAAGCACTGTGATGGACCAACAAATCCAAACCCTATCCGGCTTTCATTCTACAGCGTCATATCCAAATTGATGACTACGTATACCCCTCTCCCGAGACACCGAATTTCATTTTTCACTGGTTATAGTATTTTGACAAGTTGTTTAGTGCTGACTAAAACATGATATTGCTACATCTCGAGCCTGTTCGTTTAAGTTTTGCCTCAGTCGTAGTAGTTATATTTAAAAAGACCAATGATAACCAATCCGTCGGTCAGCTACAACGTAGGACCAGGCACATATATGTATCGGTCCAAGTTGCCACACCTCATTAGCACAACAAGATGAACACCGAATTCATATAAGTAATTACTCCACCATCTCCACCATCTGAGAAGTAGTTACTTCAATGGTGGTACTATATAAAAGAAAGATTACATATAAGGATATAATACAGGAAGAAATTAGTTCGTAGAAAGAAAGGTTTAAAGTAATCTCATAGTTGAAGGGAGGATAGAGAGTGTGTACACCAACGCCTTTGTGATCGATTCTGAGCCATGTCACCCACAGTCTCCAACGCGGACCCTAACCAATTAGTCTGCATCTACCAACATGGCTAAGACTAGAAGTTAATGACTTCAAGAACTGATGCCACATTTTTTTGTCCACACCTAACTTTCTCCCAACCATCTCCAACACTGGTCAGCATTGCACGTTGTGGTAAGCGGTGTTCAGGCATGCGTAACACATGGCCCAACCATCTCAGTCGATGAAGATTCACAACCTCATCAACTGATTTACCATCATTCCCTAATACCCTGCGTCTAACCTCACTATTACTTACCCGACTGATAACCAATATTTACATATAATTGTAGCTGATGTTTTCTGTAGAATCAGTTTAGATATAAATACCTTTTTCTTTGACTAAAACATTATAATTTTGTTAGTCGAATTTTCAACAATTTCCTTAAATACATATATAGACATATGGCTCAAGGTATGAGTGTACTTCGATTCCCATCGGATACATGTCTAAATACAGTGTTAGAACGTGCTGTATATCGTCGTCGTCTACGCCAGCATGGTGGTTATGCTTATAGATTGGAACTTTGGCCACGAAACACAGAGCAACAGAACAACAATACAAAAAGCAATAATTTTCTATTGAATAAAAATTCGCAGTTGGATTTGAGTAAACCATTGAGTTATTTTATTGCTGCTGGTTTGCCGTTACACTTTCTTCTTGTTCGTGAAAGCAGTAAGTGTCGAATATCTGGATAATGTCAATTTTACTGCTTGGTATTTTTTGGACATAATACTTCACTCGATCAGTCCTAAAACGGAACACAAGTCATAAGCGAACGACATTATACTCCAAAAATTCCAACAACAAAAGTAATTTAGCAAAAAAACGTGAAAGTTTATACAAATTTTACTTATAAATCCTCCCTTAACTTCTCATTCCATTTAGTTCTGACTAGTTGGAAAGTGAACGAATCAGCGCACTGGACTTGACCTTGGCTTGGACATGCAATAGTCAAGACCGTATCCTGCTAACGATTTCCGCTTCTCTTTATTAGTAAGAATGGAGTGTTGGATAGGCCTATATTGATCCCCGTAGTTTATAGTATTATAAGAATATCCCAATGTTAAGCTTAGAGTGTCATTAAGTGCTGATACCATATATTTTGATACAGGATTTTAGTAGTGCACACAAAGGCGTGAAAAATTTGACGTTAGTTTTATTAAGGCTCCTGAAAATGCGCCTTCAAATAATCAGTCGGTTCAAGTTGTCGAATCTTGCATCAGTACATCAAGAGAGAAAATTAACCAGAGTATGAAACAAAATGAAAAATAACCGTTATTTACTGTCAATGAGTTATAATTCGAAAATAAGGCCGACGAACGAGTTCATTCGGACCTCTGGGACTTGTTTTGGGTTAAATGACACATATGGTTTTCAACCATAGATTGGTTTAAGTTGCAAAGTTGTAAACTGTTACCGGCCACATCCAACATCTAGTAACTTTATGAACTACTGTTCCTATAACTTTGGTTGTCTTAAGCTTCTTTCTAACATACTCGTATGGTATTCATCATTACGCGTCCAGTAAAGATTATGGCTAGGCTTGTGTAACTCAAACATTTAGCACAATCATTTTTTCAGTTCAAACTGACCACATTCTCAATATCAGTGCATGTGATATTCGTTGTTTATCTAAACGAGATCAAGAGCAGTTCCAGTAGAAACTTTCAAAAGTATTTTAACGTAAAAACATAAAAGGTTTCAAATGGTCAAAAATGATCTAATTTTAGAGAAAGCAAGTTAGGTTGTTATTCATTTTTGTCAGTTCCTACGCTATTTTATAAATAGCTGACTAGTTTGTGAGTTATTAGTTCAAATTAAATTGTAATTAATAGAGTCCAGTTTGTTGGCTTTTAATTCCTTGTCTACTCAACTGTTATATAAACTCAACTCCACCAACTCGACTAAACTTTAAATTATCTTGAAGCATGATGATGTGTTAAAATACAAATTGCTTTCATCTTTTCCATGCAACTGTAGCCTTTTTCATCATTTGCCTGATTATTGTAAAATCCAGAACTGATAATTAATAGTTCAATCTCATAATGTTGTAGCTAATGAGGATTAGTAGTTCCAAGATCAAGTATCCTGTATGTCTATTATTCAAATCCCACCCAATATATCCCCAATATTCTTCTACCTAGAATTATCATTCATGTAACAACGTACACATTTTTTTCCTCGTATTTGTTTGTTTGTCTTAATTTAGGTCGGTGTGATACAGCTCTTTCAGATCAAAACGATGATATTGAAGCAACAAAGTCATCAGAATTGATGTTAGCGTTAGATACAACATTAGAACCAGTTCATACAGCTTTACATTTAAGACAATATCAGGTGACTTACTTAAAAGGTCTTTTCCCACCTGAAGTTCAGCTAAGTATGTTATTTCTTTCTTAATCGTTAAATTGCTGTTTTTTTGTGATTTTATTGTTGGTTAATTGTACTTGGCATACAAAATAGTAATGGTAATAGTTGTGTATAGCTGTTACCATGATTCTGTAGTTGAGTTTATCTATTGTGGTGATCTGTCAAGGTGTATTGGCTCGAACAGTTTCCCTCTTACATTCTTCTATACCACCCAAATCATCTTTTAAAGTGCTATAACCAAAGATATGACATTTCAGCTTCAAGGAATAAGTCATACTGATAAATGTACTGGAGTGTAGTAACAGTGGCACTGTCTCCCGACAGATAAAAGGAATGGGTTTAGAAAATCTACATATTAAGAAAATTAAAATGCCCCATCGTTGTCTCACCGATTTATATTGTCGATGTTACGGTTTATAAAGCACATGACCTTATATTATCAAGTTGAAAAACAAAGAAGACTATTTATGACTGTAATCAATTAGTCATTATATAAACTATGTGGTCACGCTTATAGATTGGCGCTAATTTAGTCTTTTTCAGGTTTTCCAGTAAAAGATTTGACTAACAGTTAGTGTATCTACTGCCTGAACTAATCGTGACAATAGCAGTCGGTTTCGTCTGTCACCAATAGTTTGGACCTAGGTAGCGAGTTAGTTTTCTACGAGATGGGGACACTACCCCCATGCCCAACCCTCCTCCTTTACCCGGGCTTGGGACCGGCAGTAACTCTAGAAGAGCTACAGGCGGAGTTTGGGACCTAGGGCATAGAATATTAATTTACTCTAGTTTATACAGTTGATTTAGTCATAAATATACTATTTTCAATTAATCAGTCCATCATAAACAATACTGACCCTAGCAGCATACATGTGCATCAATCCTAGTTCCTACAAAACACCTTCATAGCGAGACTAAATTCATATAATCCATAGCAAACAGTTCAATATAATAGTAGTGTCGGTTATCGTTGACCATTCTAAACATAGAAAATGTGTCTCAAAAAGAAAAAAAGAGTCTGTGGACGAAAAAGTATGGAATAGAATTTTAGAAAAACCAACACAAAAGATAAAGAATAAATACTTCCACTCAGTAGTGCGGCTGATTCTGAACCATATCATTTAACATGCCCAGCTACTGATCAAAATTATTGCACAAATTCCATTCAAGATGCTTGATTCACCATTCCAACAGTCATTGATTTCATAAACTGACCCCAAATTTTGATTTTGATGCCTTTAGTTTTCCTTTAATGCAATTGTACACAGCTAGGATTTGCAATTGATTGATCACTGGGTGGTGATCAGTGTCATGTGTATCAGGTTTTTCTTATGGATCAATATGCGATGTGGCCACCAATCTAGGTGACTCGACATTACGTGCAGTATGTTGAGATAAGATGGTGGTTGGGGTTAGTTAACAGGAAATCCCGGATCTAAGTTTCATGATATTAGGCACTCGCCAGCGAGGTTTACCTGTTACAACTTTGGTTTACATATCCATTTAGGCTTCCACACAACATGCAAGATTAATTTCTCAAACAGATCACCAGATACACTAGCAATTCTTATTACATCCATACACAAATTATTCTGGCTTTTGGATGTATAATAAATCAGATAACATTTAACTATTAGGTTATTTTTACCTTCTTACAATACCGTTTCTCCTAAATAATTCTGACCTTTTACAGATGTACTTTTCCCATTCATTTCCATGTTAATTGTATTCATATATGTTATTGTGTGCTTTGTTTATGCGTATATCTGCATTGCTTTCTTTATTCTATGTACATGTGAATTCTGTACGAGTCGATTAAAAGACTTTCCATACTTCATTTGGTTATTGACTGTGTTGGTTTGTCTGGTCATACGAATGCCTGAAGTATATATACCCGTAGCATTCGTATTCCGACTTGTATTCTGAATCTGTTATGCCAATAAGATGTATGTGAATTCAGTAAGAATTTATAATTTACGATCATCATTGTTGATTATCGACGGAGTCAGTTAAAAGTCATAGAGTGATGATCCCGACGTGATTCATCTGGTGCCGCACGTTCTTATCTCAGTTTTATTCACAGTCCTTAATACAAACGTGAAGTCAGGGTGTTTTTTCTCATTGTCATCCAAGGATAAGATACTTCTGTGTTTAATAAAGATTGCGTTTGTGTTGCTCAACCTTGGATGTAGAATAAGTGACCTGCCTCGTAAGTTTAGGTCAACAGCAGGAGTCCTCATCGGTCACCGGTAGGTTTGTTCTGTCATAGCTAATCGAATTGCAACATGGATGACACTGAATAGCTCGGTTCTTAAACATTTAATGATACCAGCATATTTCAATGTTCCTGCGTCTACTGATCATCGACCTATTTTTCACGTTTCTATATACATTGTGATAATATTGGTGTGTGTGTGCGCACCTCTGAAGTTTGTCACGTTTAAGCATAAAGAGTAAAATCTGTTTTTGAAATAGTCTACTGTATCTGTCGTTTGTGTTTTTTGATGGTACTATTCGAATTAGCTTGTGTGTGTTCATATATGCGATCTGCAATCTCAGTTAATCTATCGATTGCAACCTCTGATTGACGGAACAATGTTATTTTATGATTTTCATTTGAGGTGGTTACCATGATATGCATACTTCTATCACTAACATTCCTATAATTTAATATTCAGTTACATTTGTTTTGTTAACTAAACATTGACATAAGTAATCTGTAGGTAAAATTTATCTGTCTCTATCTGTTTGTCCATAATACTGTTTCATTGTTGAAAATGCTCTTTTCTGATGAAAGCAAGAGCCCTTTACTCATCATCATAATGAACATTGGGGGTTTATAAAGATTGTTAACTTCGGTCGTTTATACAGACTGACCTTGAAAAAGTACCAAATAGTGACCAGATGTTTCGTTTCAATATGTGATTTCTCGGCAATACTCATCCACAATTCCACATCGAGTGAAACTGACGAACTTCATGTTTAGAGGTAAGCGCCTAGCCTTTATATCACTAAGTTGGCGTCCAATGATTTACATGTTCAACTTCAATTGATTAACAATCTTGTACAATCATCTCCATATACCATTAGCGGGCAATCGCTTCACATCTGAAATGGTTGAACTCAACTGGATAAGATTTCTCAATTACAGCTCCTCTAATTGTCTCTCGTAATTAGTTAATGACGAGCGCATTATTATTAGCGAAGTAAAGCGTTTACAAACTTACTTACACCTGTTACTCCTCGTGCAGGAGTATAGGCCGCCCACCAGCACTCTCGATCCAACCTTGTCCTGAGCAGTCCTTTCCAGTTCTTTCCAGTTGCTATTCATCCATTTTTACGTCTGCTTCCAACTATCAATATAGTGTGTTCCTTGGTGTTCCTCTTTTTTGTTCCCCTTCGGCGTTCCAAGTTAGCGCTTGCCTCGTGATGAACTTTGATGATTTCCTTAATGTATGTCCTATCCATTTCCATTGTCTTTTCCCAATTTCCTCTTCAGCTCGAAGCTGTTTCATTCTCTCCCACAGAAGACTGTTACTGATGGTATCTTGCCAATGGATGTTGAGTATCTTACGTAGACAACTATTTATAAATACTTGTACCTTCTTTATGATTGTTGTGGTAGTTCTCGAAGTTTCAGCTCCATACAGTAGAACTAACTATCTTGACGTTCGTATTGAAGATTGTGACTTTGATATTAGTTGACAGACAGTTGTTTTGAGTTGCATATGTTGTTCAATTGTAGGAATTCTACTCTTGCTTTACCAACTCTCATTTTTACGTCTGCATCTGATCTTTTTTGTTCATCGATGATGATTCTCCCCAGGTATGTGAAGGATTCTACATCTTCCAGAGTTTCACGTTTATAAAGATTGTTGAATTTTATTGTTTACTTCACAAATCGATCATAATTCATTAGGTAGTCAGCATTATACAAAATCATTCAATGTTTACTGGTATACAATGATTATTTAACTAGCAGCAATGTAAATTATCATCATAACTCTACAGATGTGAAGGCGTGGATCGGCAAAGCAAGATCAACCTATTTACAATTGAAGAATATCTAGAACTCGAAACAATTGTCAACCAACACCAATGTCAGAATTTTCAACACAAATATCAAGGAAGTTCTACTGTATGGGGCAGAAACCTGGAGAACTACGAAAGTCATCATTCAGAAGATACAAATGTCTATTAACAGTTGTCTACGCAAAATACGTCGCACCCGTTTGCCAGACACTATCAGCAACAACCTACTATGTCAGAGAACAAATCAGATCTCATCGAAGGAAGAAATCAGGAAGTGGATCGGACACACATTGTGGAAAGCACCCAACCGCGTCACAAGGCAAGCCCTCATTACTCGGAATCCTCAGCTTGAAAGAAGAAGAGGAAGACCAAAGAACACGTTGCTCTGAGAAATAGAGACAGACATGAGAAGGATAAACAAAAATTAGACAGAAGTAGAAAGGAAGGTCCAAGACAGAATGAGTTGGAGAATGTTTATCGGTGGCCTATACTCCATTGAGAATAACAGAATTAACTATGTTAATGTATGATGAATGATCATCATAACTCCTACAACTTATCTATCATCTCATTTTTTTCTCTTTATTTCTAGATATTTCATCAACTGAATTAAAAATTGAACAAAAACGTCCAAAATTATTTTCTAAATTAATGAAATCAATTATTATACAAATTAATACAATTGCTGATTGTGAATTAATCACTAATGGATATTCAACTTATGGTATAATGGATAAATCATCTATTACCATTCATAATCATCATCATCATATTGATGAATCAAATCCAAAATATTCTGGTAATTTATGCACAGATTATGTAATAGGAGGAAATTATAAAACATCAAATAATAATAAACATTCTATAACAACTGAACAATCATCCAAATCATTTTTATCACATAAAACACAATTTAGAATTATTTATATTGTAAGTGGAAATCAATTCAATTTTATTGTATTATGATTATTATTGAAATCATGAGTCAATTGAAACTAGACCACTATGGAAAACCTGGAAGTAATGGAAGACTATTTCGTCCTAGTATGGAACTCTTCAGCAGTGCGCATCCACGATCCCAACCCCAGCGAGGTTTGAACCCAGAACCTTTTAGTCTCGCGCGCATACGCTTAACCATTAGACCACTGAGCTGGCATCTAATGATGTTAATGTCTAACCTCAATCAATCCACGAAATTGCACCACCGTACACCATTGTCTTCAGTGAGTTGATATCTCACAACAAACCTGGTTGAACTTCACTGGTAATAGCTTCTCACTAGAAATTCAGGAACTGTCAGTCACTAGTGAGCAGATGATTATTATCAGAAGGGGTTTTGTGGAGATTTTAGTAATTTCAATGCTTGAGATCATGAGCCAATTAAAGCTAGACCACAATGGAAAACCTGGAAACACTGAACGGTCGTTTCATCTTAATATGGGACTCTTCAGCAATGCGCCCATTGGATTGTGGATGCACACTGCTGAGGATTACCATACTAGGATGAAACGGTCGTCCAGTGCTTTTAGATTTTCCAAAGTGATCTAACTTACATCGACTCATGAGTTCAACTATTAAATATATTTCTTAATTAAAATATTTAAAATAATTAATCCCTTCGATAAATCTGATTAATTCAATGAGAAGTTAAAGTTTATCCGAAGAACTATTATGATAATATTAGCTTTATATATTTTGAACAATATGTAATCTGTTGTGTTAATACACCACATAGTTCTCATGAACTACATCTTCTCATTGTATGATCCATATGAAAAGTAGATGATAATTTTATCAGAAAATTCACGTTTTGAAATCGATCCTTTTCATGTTCACTAGTTTGTGCTTAATACACAAGGAAGATAAGAGTTGTCTCCATCTAGTGTACGGCCTTGACATGATATGTTACTCAGTGCAACCTTGAGGTTTGCAACGGGTGAGTTCGATTCATGGTTGAACGACCTCGAGAGGAAAAAGATGAAAACTATCCTGATAAGTTGGCAATTGCAGAGAGAGAGAGGGGGAAAGTGTTTTATCTTTTGGCCTTGTGCTCCTATCAATATATGATGCAATGATACCACCAATTAGAGAACAGCGAATTATCGATAGGACCAATGACGCATAAAACACGTACGGGCAGTCTAAAGTTCTTATCGGTTCTTCTTCATGCCTAACCCTGCCTGTTGAGTCCAGAAAACCAATCTCAACCTCTGCTATTTGAATCATATATTTCAAACATACTAGGTTTATATACAAACCAAACAGACCACATCGGATCACAAAATAGAAAACACCATTTGTACAACATCTAGCCAAATGTGGCTGTGAATGTGCGAGACTGTTTATTTATATTTATTTATTTGAATACATAAATATTGGTAGAAGGAGACGCCACACAAGTCACTTGATTTGTGTGTGGGCTGTGATACTGCTCGGGTGCCCAGACCGAATCAGGTGATTTACTTAGGAGACCCGGAGCCTCCAACCCATAGGTCTGATTCATAAGGCAGCTGAGCAATATCAGGAGATGCAGTCACTTCTATGAGATATTTTGGAGTTGTATTGTAGTTTTGGATCCATTGTTAATTAGGAATTATAGTTTATACTAGGTATTTGTGGACTGTCGTGTGCTTGTATTATCGCCGACCTATATTTTTCTCCTTCCAACCTTAAAACTGAAAGCTTCTTCCATACCTCCAACCTTTTGTTTGCCATCCAAGGTTAAGAAATAGAAAATTTCTAGATATTACGAAGCGGTTAGAAAGTCTGATGTCAACATGTTATATCAAGTCCTTGAGTCCCTCTGGGGCTACTGCCGGTCCCAAGCCCGGATTAAGAAGGAAGGTTGGGCATGGGGTTAGCGATCCCATCCCGTAGAAAACTAACTCGCTAAAAAATACGCTGACCAGAAAAAATTATTCAAACCATTTAAGCTCTGTCCTGGGAGTTAGGTCTTCATTTAGAAGAGTTATGACGCTTCATGGTGAAAGCCGAGTTCCTTTGAAAGTCACGAGGCTGACGCCCCTACTGATAACCAGAGCAATCATTAATTTAGACACATGGAATAGCTCGTACAATGTGGGAGACGACCAGGCGAGTCTTCCAAATTGCTACAGAAGTGAAGAGATACAACATGGAGGTGCTCGGAATATTAAGTCTTTGGCTTATTTTTGTATGTCAAAAGTAGTTTTAATTTTTTTTACTAATTAATCTCCTAACCACTAATTCAATTGGTTACCAACTGATTAATATAATGATCCATTTCATTTTGTTTTCCATCTTTCATCTATTTTTGTTTATAAATCATATAGCCTAATTTTGATTTACATTCCGATTGGATAACTTCACAATTGACCACTTCTATTGGTATTGGTGGAGGTGGACGACCGACCGCTACTAATGGCCAACAACAACAACAACAACCTCATATTCTTCTGCCACCATCTTCTACATCAACTATTGTACCTTGTTTTGGACAAGATTTACCTGAGGTCACAAATACTAACATGTTCAATAGTACTGATGCCAATTGTAATACTAATATTGCTGTGAATACAAATACAACTACCTCGAGTATATCAACTACTAATATTACTACTTCTACTACTGTTATCAATAACAGTAGTAATAATAATAATAATAACAATTTATTTCAACAATTATGCTTTGAAACACAATGGTCACGAGCTAGAGCTATATGTGATCAATTGAATATAATTTTAGAAGTATGTCAAAGTCAATCACGTCAATTGTATATGAAACAAAGATCCATTCATAATTGAAGTGTATTTATATATACAGACCCTTACCTTGTAAATTAACTTGGATTATTTTATATATATATTTATGTATATTTTTATTCATTATTTCAGTTGCATATCAAATTACTTTTCACATGTAACTTCTTGTATGTATGAATGTGTATGCTTGTTTGTTCTGTGTGTGTGTGTGCGCGCGCCTATGGTGTTTGAATGACAAGTGATTACACTTGATGATTGTATAATTTCTAACTTTATTTTCATATAAATCGTAATATTAACAACCATTCTGTCTTCTTCTCGTTATTCTTTCTAGATTGTATTGATTAAATAATTTTTATCGTAACATTGCAACTGATCGTCTATTCATGAAACTAAAATGTTCTTATTTGATTCATGAACTGATCTAAATTAGACCATCAGTTAGTCATCATTGGAAATCTGGTGTTATGTTTGAAGAGATTATGATATCAGCTAAACCAGTTAGTGGAACAAAAGCAAAACGGAGGGTGGTCGTACTTCTTTGTCTATTGATAATTTTGAAAGCATGTGGAATTTCGATGGTGTGCCCGGTGTCAAGTAGATGTCGAGCTATTGCGCTGTTGAAGGCCTTATTCCCTCGCAGCCTCAAGTTTTTTGGAACATGCTCAGAAATGCGGACATGCACTCTTCTCTCAGTTCTTCCAATGTATGTGCTTTGGCACGTACATGTGAATTGGTAGATGCAGTTGGAGCTACTAAGGAAAGAGGGCTTGTCGATTTTGGTTTGTTGAAGTGAGCAGTTCGTTTGCCATACTGATTAAAGTGTCGGATATTCTCTTTTTGTCTTCTCAATTTCGTAAACAACAGTAATACCACGAGAAGGCAGTGAGTACGACTTTTCTGGCAGTGGCTCTATACGCGTGGCCATGTCAGAGCATTTAAAGAGGTAGAGCAGACTATCTCCACTCTCGGCGGTACCAGGTTTATTTATTTCACGGAGGTGGGTCATGAGATTTCGATGTGTGCCTGAACACAGACTGGCATGCGAGTTGATTTTCGATTTCTTAGTTTTATAAAAATCACTAATCAATAAAACTGGATATTTGTAATAAATATCAATCCATAGAACATTTTATACTTATCAGAATAGAAAGACAGGAGAATTCTTTACAAACGCATGTAAGTATACGTTAGATATTATTTATATATGAAAGAATGAAAGACAAATTTCTACATTCTCCTCTAGTAAAATTAATGATCATTCCATGGCGTGTTCTATTATCCTCGATTGATTGATTATTTTTCTGAATCGATGATTAAATCTTTAATCGATATTGTGTTTTTTTATGTCTATTTTTTCTAAGTAATTTGTATCACTAATCTGGAGATGTTGTCTAGAACAATCGTTCATATAATCATTGGATTTCAACATCATATCTATCAATGATCTATTGTGTTTTTAGTGGTCCGTGGATCTGACTCCTATTTAGATCGTATGGTTGTTTGTTATCGTCTATTCTCGTATGTCAGCGTCGACTTAAATCACGTTATCCAATAACGGAATTAAATAAGTCAAACAACGAGAATTGATCTGTGTATGCATACATGTTGTATATGGAGCGAATGAAACAGCAAAGCAAAATGACACGCAGGGAAGATGGCGTTACTCCATATTTATAGTTCGACAAAATAAAGCTACAGACATGTGATTAATGTGATAAAAAGGGCACACACATATGCGCTCATATAAAAAACAGTCTAGTTTGATAAGCGAATAAATAACAAGGTCAAAGTATGGCTCAAGTAGAATGAATAATATGGGATGTTCGAAAGTGGGAATACAGTATATGGGCTTAACATAGTAATTGACACTACGTGTTCACTTCAGCACACATTGATGATGATTCTGTGTTTTCATCATAGTTGGTTGATACATGATTGTGAAATTTATAGAATAAAATTAAACATCATTCTAACTTTTAATGATGATTCAGAGTGTCATATTACTGTGTGTGTGTGTGATGGTAATTTTCAATCGTTACATATCTTGAGTAAACTGAACGGTAATCATCAGATAACTTTACGTTTATGTTTCATGCTAGTTGGAAACTCATCAGCAATATGTTCCTATAATGTTGAGGGGATTCATCATGACTATGGGATTTTAACAGGGTTAATGTAATTTCACAATATGAGACCATTATGATTAAACTATTTAGGACAGATATTTTGTTATAAGAAAGTTGGATCAATAAAGATGGTGGTTATTTCAGGACAACACCATTCTGGAGCTGTACTTCGGTGTATTTGGGAGTAAAACTTATCCCTCAGGCCACGAGTTTACTGCTTTCAATCATACTGTTCTTCAACCTATCTGCCCAACACGTTAGGACATAAAGTGACGAGTATTCTAGCCATTATAGCTTGATTGTGTCATTACGACATACAATCAGCTATAGTCTGAGTCATGTTGACAAATATAGAATACCTAGTTAGGATTCTCATGATAACCTCTACCAGTGGTTGAAGACGGTAAGTAACACCTCGAATTAGTCATAATGACGCAAATTCTTGATCTTACTGTATATCTTAAGTTATTGTTCCATTCAAGGAAAGGTGGGATTTATTACTGTTAAGTCTACTATTAACACCAATATCAGTATTATCATCATACAGTATTGTTTATTAAACATCTGAGTTACAAGACTTTTACTCGTAAATCAAATGATACTACTTTTAATTATGTAATTTGTCAGATCAACCATTTAAAGAATTAAAGTGAATAAACTCTCTCTGTTAGTAGATAAACTTCTTGTCAAGAATAATACATAAAGTAAATGATCACAGTATAGTTTATTTATATAGAGCATAAGGAAACTGATAAGTCATTGAAAAGTGTGGTTCTACAAGGGTGAGTGGAAAGCAGTTAGAAGTTCCATAATTGAACATCTAATCAACTGTAATCATTCTATCGATCCACAGTTTGATTTTAAGGTTGTATATCCAAATCTACCCAGATTTCTTTGTATTCAACTCCTAAAAATAACCGAAGCTGGTGAAGAAGATTTGTAGTCCAGAAGTTTCTGTTGATGATGTCGTTCAGAAGAACGATGGAAGCTCCACGACCAAACCATGCAGCTCAGAGAACAAAACCCCATCAAAATAAGCGAAGCTTTTACCATCGATGAGCTCAAGCCAGAACTATGGGTACAAAAGAAGTATGTCCTATCGTTATCATTATTAACATTACCGTTGCATTTTTCCCTTTACTTATGTCACATACACTCGTTATTTTATTCATTTGATGAGAATTGGTTACTAACTTATCAAGTCTATTGTTATTATTCGTATTACGTAATCTAGCATTGTAATCCTTCTATTACATCATCTTGGTTATTCCTTATTCATATTACTTTTATTTTTTATACGATTGTACAGCTTGATAATAAATTCGTTGAAAATAGATCCCTTCACTGAACTTCGTGTTTTAACATTGAATTGATGCATGTTGTGTTGAATTGGATAATCTTGCTTTTCCGTTTGTGTATGTTGACACCTACTGTTGCTACACTGGTTGTCTACCCCTGTATTTGTTGTTGCATTTGCGACAAAAGAGTCAGATCATCTGCGAAGTCTAGATCTTCCAGTTGCGTCATATGTGTCCACTGTATCCCATATTGCTCTCCAAGATATTGACGTCTTCATAATTCGGTTGATCACCAGGAGAAAGAGAAAGGATGAAAGTAAGCAACGTTGCCTGACATCAGTCTTTACTTCAGATGAATCTGTGATTGTTGATCTGTAGCTATAAATAAAAGACATCGATTAGAAACTCTCAATCCATTTCTTTTCTGATTATATAATTCATCAAATTGTTCAGATTTCCTGTTTATTGAACATGACAATAGCTAACCAAGATTCATTACTGAGAAACTTAAGCAGAAACAACATAATGGTTAATGTTCATTGACCTACCACCCGCATTTATGTTTATTCAGTAAAAATGAATGTAAATATATTAGAATAAATACATGTCAATGTCAGTATATAAACATCATTACACTATTATATCATCTTTAGGATTGTGTATTGGCAATTGTTTCATTTGAAAACATTTAACAAAACACACTGTTTTTCATGTGATTAACATTATAGATCACTGATGAAGAAACAATTTCCACATATTATCAGTGTTTGACTGAACATTTCAAAGTTGATCCAATAAGAGATCACATGTGAACATTGCTATGAATGTTCAGGTTAAAGCACAAAATCTGTTCTCTGTTATTTGTTAACCACTATATACATATGCGCGGCGGAGGTGCAACTTATGAAGTTGAAAAGACGAAAAGCATACTTCCAGCGCTTTAACCGGTTCTGCAGGTACAGCAGAGGATTCACCTAGGTGAGTTGAGAAACCTTTATTTCGAACCAATGTTGTACATGGGCTCTAACATCTTAGGCGAACATATGGAATATGGACCTAATGTTGTTCATTGGTTACCATGCGACTGCATCTCCTGACGTTGTTCCACTGCCTTGTGAATTACACCTCTAGGTCGAAGGCTCGTGGTGTGGCTTCCTAAGAAATCTACCTGCTTCGATTTGGGTGACCAAGCAGTACTCTAGCCCTCACACAGATCATATCTGTTTGATGCCTCCTTGTACAAATGTTTATGTGTTTCAATAAAATAAATAAATAGAATTATTTCTTCAGTAATAAGCAATTTTCAATATGAATCATATCATTCGATTTGATTCAATACATCTATTACAATTTATCAGCGAACTGCACCGATAACAATGATATAAGCCAGATCATCTGCGAAGTCTAGATGATCCAACTGCATCCTAGCTGTTCACTGTATGACATTCTTCTCCCCTAGATGTTGACGTCTTCATAATTCAGTCGATCACCAGGAGAAAGCGAAAGGATGAAAGTAAGCAACCTTGCCTTACACCGATCTTTACTTAGAACGATTTTGTCAATTGTTTTCGATGCGCGATTTTACAGTCTAATCCATCATAGGAATTCCGTATGATATTGACTATTTTCTCAGACATACCGTAGTGTCGAAGAACCTTCCTTTGTGTTGTCCTGTCTACGCTATCAACTTCTTTCTAGCTTTATATCTAGTCATTTCTTAATCTTTTTTACTTTTAGATTACTCTTTAAATTAACTTACTGAATGTTGGAACATCAAAATTAAACACGATAAATCGTAACAAAAAAAATACAATATCCATTACTACTACTACGACTGCGGCGACGACGACGACGACGACTACGATTACGGCTACGACTATTACTATTATAGTTT